AAACTCTTGAGTCAATCTTGTTGATCCAAGCATTGATATTAATTACCTACTATATGTCAGACATACTTTTGGGTGTTAGGGATACAAATAATACATTTAAACCACAAATATCTTCACAAAGCAGTCTCAAATTTGAGAATAAACCCTGAAAATAATATTTGGGAAATTACAGACACTATGAACAATTATTTACATACTCTCTGGACATTATTAAAGGAAGATAAGAGTATTAAGTCATTGGCTCAAATTAGTAGCATAACTACTTACCCCTCCATACTTCAAAACTTTCAAATTATATCCATATGATTGTTTCCTCTATTGCTACCAGCCTCAGAACTAAAGAATCACAGAATCTCTGAGTCAATTGGGACCTTGTTGGCCAGCAATTCCAATACATTCCTGGTAGAATTCTCCAATGCAACATATTTAATCTCTGTTAGAAGCCCTCCTGTGAGGAAGTGAGTGAGAAGGCTACCTTTGAAGCATCCATTCTACTTTAAGTAACTCTCATTTTTACGAAGTTTTTCCTCACATTAAATATAATATACATGTACCTTCCATCCATTGCTCCTAGTTTTTCTTAAAAAGCCAAACAGAACAAGCTCAACCCCTAACATGATTATTTTTTCCATGTTATGACATAGCCCCAAGTTTAAAAGTAGTCGGGTTGTGGAGTTAGTTCCAACTTCTAAACCTCTAGGAGGCTAATTTGATTCATTATTAGATACAAGCCATCAGGACTACTCTGAACAAAAAACTGAAGTAGACAACATTTACTCATATCCTAGTGGAATGTTTGCTGTGACTAACTATGTCCTTGAACTGGTTCCTGGCTCTCTGGGATTACCTATCTCCCTTTTAATTACACTTGTCCTTTGATGATAGAGATATAATCTTTTTATGAGAATGCTAAGACCTTCCAGAAATTATACTTCAGACCTAACTTTCAAGAACCCAGGGCTGTCTGACAACGTCCCAGTAAAGTGTCAGTGTAGGACGTAATAAAGGTAAAACAAAACAAAAATGTTAGTGAGATTGTGAGCTGATTTATTGAGTAGAATTGCTGGTGCTCATCAATTCATTCCCCCCCACCCTCTGCATTACGCTTTTGTTTCTTATGAGAACTCCTTGAACCTATGAGGGGACAGATAAAACTTGGCAAGTACAAGAGGTCCTTCTTTTATATCTTCTGTATAAAATCATTTTCATACCATCTGTAACTGTTGACTGAAATATCTATGTGATACATCTATCTTACCTAGCATATATACACATACATACATAAACACTCATATATATACACACACACACACACACACACACACACACACACACACACACACACACACACATATATGGAGAGAGAAAGAGAAAGGGGGAGCTAACATTTATATAGTGCTTTAGAGGTTGCAATAAATCTTACATATATCATACATTAATTTGTTCATTTATTTGTTTGTTTACTTGCAAATATTTAATTCTTGTGAGGTAGGCACTATTATTTCCACTTTACATACGAGTCAGCTGAAACATTAAAGGCTTAAACAATTTGGTGAAGTTCATGCAGTGAATGTCTAAAGCCATATTTGAGCACAGGTCTTCCTGAGGTCCAACACTCTATTCATTGTACCACCCATCTGCCTCAAACTGATAGTCTGCATAAGATACATCTATCTACTTAACTGAGAACATAAAGTTTTCCTAACACATAGGCTGAAATACTACTTAAAGATATAGAGGTGGGTTGTGATTTAATATTTTCAACTTAATGATACTGCCGCAAGTACAGAGGAACCAGAGCAGTATCATGTGTGCACTCCTCAGGTTGTGGAAGCTAATCTGACTTATTATTAGATATAAATTATCAGAACCACTCTAACAATAATTAAGTGGATAACAATTATAGGGATACCCTTGCTCAGTTTCTTTCAATGAGCTTCTTTATCCTTATGAAATTTGGGCAGGAAAATGAAGCTCAATGAATACACCAATCATATTTTATTACTCTGTCAGTTGAAGGTAGTGACTTTAGAATAAAATGAAAAATATCAGAGATGCACAGCTAGGCGTGAAGAGGATGTCAGAGAACAGGATTTTGATTTTTATACCATGTATTAAGATATAGAAATGATAGGCTCTTGGCCTGGGAAGAAAATCTTTTCCTAGTGACTTGGAGATGTAATCAACAGCACTTTAAGCTGAAAATACAGGGGACACACATGTATAACTCCCAAGCCAGATCCCAGAGGGAGTAGCAACATGGCAGAAGAACGATAGTAGTGGAAAAAGAAAAAATATATTGTATTTCAGAGGACACAGTACCAAGAAAACAAAACAATATGTGTGTGTACGTGCACACATATATACATGTTTATATATACATATGAACATATTTTTATGTATTTATGCACATATAATAAATACAATATACATAAATAATATATACACACAATAATATACAGAATATGGTTAATGACCAAAATATACTTGCAATCTTAATGAAAAGAGGCATTCTTTTCATTTTTCAGGGTATTAGGTAAAACCTCAGAATTGTTTTGATTTTGTTTCTCTTATTATTCGTGATTTAGTGCATTTTTCACATGGTTGTAAATATTTTTGCAGTTAGTTTGATAAATGTATGTTGATATCCTCTGACCATTTATATATTGAAGAATGTCTAATAATTAAATATATTCATTTAACACGCTAAAATATTGATTTGAAATGGTACAACCATTTTGGAAAACAATGTGGAATTATACAAATAAAGTGACCAAAATGTCTGTACCCATTATACACACTTATTAAGTTCTTCCTGTGCACTGGTCCTTTTGTTAGCCATTGAAGATACAAGGAAAAAAACAAAACTCTCCTTGCCCTTAGAGAGGAAACAACATATGTACATATAATTCCATAAAAATATATAAAATGTAAATATAAAATACTTAGGCTATGCATAGTGGGTCAAAGGTGGGTAGGAAAGTCATATTTTAGAAAGTTGCAATTGAACTAGGCTTTGAAATGAGAGATTCTAAAATTTGGAAATGTGGAAGGAATGCATTCCAGGCATGTGGGTCAGCCTCCACATGCAAAGACATAGCTGTGGAAGAGGGAATATTGTTTATAAGGAACAGTAAGTAGGCCAGTTTGGACTATTAAGTACATATAGTGGAATAATGTAGGGAAAGTACACAGTAGCCACATTATGATAGGTTTTAATACCAAACAGATACAAATTTAATGATAACCATCTTCAAATTATTCAGGGCCTAGTGGAAAAATGAATGCTTATACTCTTCTTGCTGCCCAGAGGAAAGAGCTAAAATCAGTGAGACTCAGAGGAAAGAGCTTTTGGCTTATGTGAAGAAATATTTCCTAATAATTAGAGTCAAACAAAGATAAGGTATGCTCAGTAATGAGGGGGTTAGTTACCTTTGACCTGAGGTCTTCAATTGAATTCCTGATATTCACTTCTCAAGAATGTTTTAGAGAGAATTCAGGTATGACCTAGACCACATAAGCTTTGCCATTCCTTCCAACTCTTAGATTTTATGAATATTCCTTATTTTACCAACAGATTATACTAGTCTGACTCCTCATAACCTTATGAAAGAAGAGGATATTCAAATCCTGATAAATGATTTCAACAAGATTATATTTCTCATGGCCAACTTTGTAATTGACAAGTCTGCAACAAAACAATTTTATTTTATGTGCTCATAATACGGACTTTGTTGAAAGTTAGAGAAATGATACTGAGAGAAATATAGTGAGCCTAACCCAATACCAGAATACATTTTTATGACTCCTAGGCCTGTTTCCTCATCTACAAAATAAGATAATCAGATTCTAAGACAACTTTTCATAACCAGCAAATTGGTTTTTAGAAAAATATATAAACAGAATAAAACAGATAGAAGGGAACTGTAAGTCAAAAGTGGCCTGGATCATAATCTCAGAGAAGCTAAAAAAACAACTGTGAAGGTGAAGAATTGCTAGCATGATTCACTAGTAACAGAGTCCAATAGTTGTCAGTGTCACTTTGAACAGATGTGTTGGCATGGTGAATTTGCTAACTCTGGCATCATTAAAATATGGTTTAAATGCTTTATGATGAATAAGACGTCCTTTTAATAATAGCCTCTCTTGATTTCACTAGGAATTGCTGTTTAAGCTCTTTGGATAACTTACTAATTCTAGTAGATAATGAAAATTATTCAGGAGAAGCATTCACAGTTCTTTCAGCTGTAGATAAAAGATGTCTGGTAGAAATTTAGCTCTTTAAGAAGTCATTTTTCTTAGTTGATCAAGGCACAGACTACCAGCTTCGCCATGAAATAAGAAGTCCATGTTGTCACCTATTTCTCCATTCTTGTACAAGTTTTACCTTATTAGTCATTTGCCCCAATTTCAGAAGATGATTAATCCAAGTTACCTGCAGATGATCAATAAACATTTTTTTCTATGTAGTTAATGACTCATAATGATAATGAGTTTCCCTTCCCAGAAGATTTTATATTTTAATGATTGAATAGTACCTTAACCCAAAAGCAACCCATTTAAGTGTTACAATTTCAGAAGGTCCAATTGAAGAGACAATTTTTCACAGATAAGGTTTTCCTGACATCCCTCAAATTGCACTAAATGTTTGTTGGAGACAGAATTTTAATGTTTTTTTTCCTTATAATGTAAGATTCCTTTTAATGAAGTTCATGCAGCAATATCCAGATGTCAAGATTTTTTTTCTTTTTTTCTTTTTTAATAAAGTTGGAAAGCCTGCTGTGGAAATGCAAGATAGTCAAGATGTTCATAGGGGGACTGAAGGTTAAGTTCTAATTTGTGTAGCTGTAGGCTTCTTCCATGTTCCCTGTGACCAAACATCGAAGCCTTAACGGCCAAAACTCAGCAGTCTCTCTGACCTTTCACATATTTCAGGACTTTGACACTCCCTCCATCTGTTCAACCTTTAAAAGCAGGAGGTGTCTGTTTGGCTGTTGTCCTTGGAGAAGCAAGCTATTAAAATTGTACATTTCTTTAGGGATTTCTCAAATATACTTCACATCTGGTATTTCATTATTTTTTTTTCCAAAATCACGTGCATTTTGAAGAGATCTAATTGGAGACCAACTACATTTCAATGTGAGGAATGATAGCCATGGAGCTCTTTTAGACTAGATGTGGTGAGAATAAAATATTTTGAATATAATGATTCTGGGTTATGAGTGACCATTAATATTGTCAAGGACATCAGAATCCCACATATAGGTTGTTAATGCTTTTGCTGAAAATTAAAAATTTAGAATGAATGAAAGTGGATATGATATATCTGTGTTTTAGCGCAGACTTAATGTTTCCAGTTTGTTGAATTGAATTGGAACTTTTCTGTATACAAAAAAGTTTCACAATTAATCTCAATTTTATGATTATAACATATCAACTCTCAACTGAAGCCAGTATATTCTTTTGATACATAAAAATTACACCCATTAACAGAGACAGGAAAAGAGATCCTCTTGAAATTATTCCATTTCTTCGTGCAGTATTATTATAGGAGAAGTCTCCTAAGAATATTATAGAACAAGCTTTTTCAAAAGTCATTACTCATTTCATAAGTTTTTCATGCTTTTTAAAATTACTTTTGCGAGGTGACTACAAGTAGCATTTGACCCAGAAATATTGTCAGAATTCCTTCCATCTTCAAATTCCTGGACTAAATTCTACCGCTAGATGATGTTACCACTACAACATGTTTATTCTTACAAGGTCACGTCTAGGTCTTTGAATTGTTTTCACTGAAAAAAAATCAATTAAACACAAGAAAAAGTGATCAAGTACTTTATGTGTACAAAGCTTTACCTCTAGTAGGTAATGACAGGGAAAGATTCAAAGATCAAAAAAAAAATAGCAACAATAATGCATGACTAATAGCTGATATGAGACATAAACGAAAACAACAGTGATAAAAAATGGAGTGTGATAAGTGCATAGGAGAGAATACAAATATCTATTTTTTTTTTATTTTTAGGCAGTTGGGGTTAAGTGACTTGCCCAGGGTCACACACCTAGTAAGTGTCAAGTGTGTGGTCTGAGGCCGGATTTGAACTCAGGTCCTCCTTACTTCAGGGCCAGTGCTCTATCCACTGAGCCACTTAGCTGCCCCCTGAGAATGCAAATATCTAAGAAATCTAAGAAAGAAGAAGGAACTGCAGTTTGGGGTAGATCGTTGAAGAGATGGCATTGAAACTCGGCCCTTGAGTATGGGTAGGGTCTGAAAAAGAAGAATTGAAGCAATACACAATTAAAGACTGTTCTGTTTCAGGGAGAATAGGGAGAGGAGTTTAGGAGTGGATTTAAGCTTAAGAGGTAAGGTCAGAATTGTCACCAACTGTTTATTAAAAAGAATTGGTCTCTTTCTAACCTGCGTCTATCTACATATGCCCAAAGCATTACAGAACACTTTCTTAGCAATTGCAAATGCGTGACCTAATGTGCCTTATAGTTTAGTTTATGTGGTCATATAACAGCAAACATTTATATAATCATCAAAACATAACATTAGGTCTTGGAATAAGTGGAAGTACAAATTGAATCTACAATATGTTAAACAAAGGAATATATATTAGCTCTTTTTCTCTCTTTTCTTTTTATGGCACCTCTCCTCTGAAGAACTATATAACAGGATTTTGATTTTTTTTTAATGGAACATTGTTTGAGTATTATATCAGTTTTAAAAGTACATTGTAATGAAGGAGAAGCAGTAAGAGAAACTAAATTTATTTTAAAAAAAAAGGAGTACTCAGCCAACTCTATTCTGGGAGATCAAATTGAGTCTTCTCCTTGAAGTCTGCTCATATCTGTCAAGACAATAATAATTCCTATAAATATATGTATTATTTGTAGACTATTCCACATATTCTTAGGTTTCTATAGTTCTCTGGTTGTTTTACATACTTATTTTATAGATATTTTTTGTCTCCACAGATGAATTATGATTTTTTAAGAATGAGGACTGCCATGGCTGCTTCACCTGTATCCATCCTCAGGGCCAACAACAAAAGTGAAGACTCAGTAGGCACTTAATACATGAATATACAGTGAATATGCAAGGGCAATCCTAATCCTTTCACTCACTATGAGGGAAATGAATAATCCATAACAACTTTAGGTTACTAATCATGATTTCCCTATTTTCTATCTGATGTCTTTTGAAAGGCAGAGAAAGAAAAAAAAAGAATGAAGAATTGTAACTCTCTCCTCTTGAACTCTGATGATGGATTTTCTCTAGTTACCCTAGTATGCTTTCCAGACTCTGAAACTATAAATGCTTAAGTCTTTGCAATCAGGGTTAGATATCCTTTCATCATTATACATTAAAGTGAAAATCATCTGACAGATGCAGAGTTATGCAACAAATATAACACAGTTCCAGAAAAAGTTATGCCTTTTATTTAGAATGCATTATTGATTTATATAAACAAAAGAACAACTGTATACAGTAGACAGAGATCTGTCCTCAGAAATAGGTAGTTTTGAATGTAAGTAATGCTTTGACAGTTAGTTGACCCTGGGCAAGACATTTAACCCTCAGTGGTACAGGATAATCTGCATTGGTGGAGAGTTCTTACATAAAGAAATCCTGCATGGATGAAACCATAGGTCTTATCTAAAATCTGACCTAATGAGAAAAGAGTAATTTATTTTTAATATTGTTCAAATGCTTTGTTATTACTCTTTTTCTCTCTCCCTACTCCCTTCCTTTCCTTCCCTTCCCTTCCCTTCCTTTCCTTTTCTTTGTTTTCCTTCCACCCTTCCTCCCTCTTTGCCACCTTCTCTGATTCCCTCTTCTTCCTCCCTTCTTCCCATCCTTCTTCCTCCTTTACTCCATCCTTCAGTTTCTCCCTCCCTGTCTTCCTCTCTCTCTTACTCCAACAGTCCTTTCCACCTTCCTTCCTTTCTTCCTTCCTTCCTTCCTTCCTTCCTTCCTTCCTTCCTTCCTTCTTCCTCCTTCCTTCCTTCTTTCCTCCCTTCCTCCTTCCTTCTGTCCTTTCCTTTCTTCCTCCTCATTGGCCTACCAAAAAAACCTTGATTTTTTAATAATGGCCAAAATGGCTGCCTAAAAAGAGATAACCTGTCTGTCACATATTTTAGTCCAGCAAAACCTGGAAATTTCCAACAGACTGAATAATAATCGAGAAATGTAATGATGAACCATAGTAAGTCATTTCTGCATTCTCAGAATTACACAAAAAAAGCCAGCCATCAAATCACAAGTAATAAGAAAGGGTCATCAGCAAAGCCACCACCCTCACAGGCTAATGAGGCTGAAGTGCAGAGATGTCTAGCTCCCTGGTTTTCTGCTTCAACAGTTCTTCTTTAGAAACTACAGATGTTCATTTCTTAGTTGTAGCTTTCTTTTGTTACATCTACTGTTCACTCCTACTACCAAATACTCTTCCAGTATACCACCTGTACTGCAGCTATTTGTAAGCCATAACTACCTTCTCAGCCACAGCCTCCTCAGTACTGGCTCCCTCCATCATAACCTCCCCTTCATAAAAAGGGATAGAAATATAATCAGGACTTAGAGGCAATGATAAACAACAGATCCCTAGTGTTCTAAGTCACTTATATCTATCAGATTATGATTTATTGTTTTGAATGGAAAAATGTAACACTGAAGAACTTTGCCAAATATTTTCTATTTCAATCCCATGAGGAATAAGAATATGTCCTGATACTGATGTATCTAAAAGCCAATGAGGCAGCTAAATTTTCTTACATGGCACACACAGGTAAAGTGGGTTAAGTGCAATGGAGAATTCTCTGAACTTGGAGAAAAACAAAATCCGTTATCATTGCAATTAAGCAAATGGGCAAATGATTAAAAAATAACCCACAACTGGATGAACAGGTTAAATGTATGAAAAACACATAAGACCATGCAATCAACCTGTGCAAAACATATCTGCTCTCACCTTCTTATTCTGCTATAGCACACTATATTTTTAATAAGCATTCCCTTGGAGACAGTGACAACAACTGGGCTTCAATCTGGTTTCCCCCACAACTATCAAGCATGGGTATCACTCCTGACTCTCTGGTAGTGAATTAATACTTTGATTATTTTATGTTTTCATAAGCTATACCAAACACACTAGTATTTCATCCCAATAAAGTGATTTGGTGATGATGGCAGAAAAAAAAAATTGGAGCTGATCATACCTGCCACTAGATCTCAGAGGACTGTGATGAGGATTAAAAGAACAGAGATATAGAAAAGCTCTTTGAAAATTGTAATGTGGAAAACAAATACAAAGAAGCATTATTGTTATTTGGCATGCTTATGACTAATCCTCTGTATTTACACACTTAGAATTATAAATACAGGAGCACAAATATACTCAGGAACATTGTTTTATATAGCTTTGCATGTGTGCATTTTGAGTGTTACTTCTTAAATAGATTTACTAAAAATGTTCTGAAGACAACATAATCCACATGGTTTGGATTTATTTAAACACCAATGATTAGAATCTTGCCCAATTTGAAATATCATTTATTATCTCAAATCGTTTGATCTTTTTCAATAATGAAATAAAAACTAAAATTTACTGGTTTGTTTGGAAATAGGATGCTCTGGTTGACTGAATTTTCTTATTAATGAGGTTTCCTTAGCTCCCCTTTTGTTTCCCTTGTTTTTCCCCACTTTATTTGTTTTGAATTTCCCTGGGCCCTATCTCTCATGGGATTTGGCTTTGACAGTCAGTTTTTTCCCCCATTTTTACTGATCACTTCCAATCCTTTAGACTGCAGGTATTTTTCTAATCAATCAGTCAATCACAGTTTTTAATCTAACATCTAATTCTGCAGGAGCAACTTATTGTATTCACTTCTTTCTGAACATTTAGAATCATAAAGTGCTATTACTTCTGGAAAAGACCGTAGGATTCAACCCACACTCTTTAGAAGCAATGCAAGTGAGAGCCAAGGAGTTGAAATGACTCTATTCTGTGGGATTATGGCACAGCTAGGACTCAGAATGAGATCTACTGAGTCCTAGACCAAGGAGACATCCCAGAAACAGATCCTAGGATCATATACGTATGCATTTAAGAGACCTTAGAAACAATCTAGTACTTCTTTCTTTCACAATTGAAAAAACAGGCCCAGAAAGATAAATGACTTACTCAAGATCATAACAAACAGTGAGTTAGGGTTTGAACACATTTTTTTCTTTTTAAAATTCTTCCAAATGATGTGAGACTGTAAAAAAAAAATTGCAATCAGAGTCAGGATCTAACTTCAAATCCTGGCTCTGCCACTTAACTAGCTGTATGACCTTGGGCAAGTCAATGGACCTCTCAGGGGACTCAGTTTCCTTACCTGTGAAATTAGGTGATTTGACTACATGATTTAAAAAGTCTTTTCATTTTCAACTTTAAATCCTGCATCCAATAATTGTCCCCTGATTAAACAAAGTAAATTACCAGATATAAGTTTGGTGGTTTTCCATTCTATCCATTTTCTAGATTGTATTTGCAATTGTAATTTTAGACTAACATAAACTTTTAAAGGTGGAAAGGACCCCAGAAATCTCATAGTCCAAATTCTTGAAACAAATCGAAACTCATAAAGGCTAAGTAAACTGCCCAGAGTCACATGGTTAACAAATAGTCAAAGCCAGGCCTGAACTCCTGGTGTCTCAGTTCAGTGCTCTTTGCATTACACCAGACTGTTGACCAAAAGTATTTGCTGATGTCTTGCATTTTGGGTCATTTTTTTCCAGAAATAAGTTAATAATTGGCTCAAACTGTGTGTCTACGATATTTGCACAATGTAAGCATTAATGTTCTTGGGTGTTCTAGCATTTTGTCTAGACTTCTCCTTTACAATTATCCTCACATCTACTTATATACTTTTTATCAGGGGTTTAGAATTGGAAGGGGGCCTCAGAAGTTATAGAGAAAATATACTTTACTGAAAGCTCCTTGAAGGCAAGGTTTAGTTTTTTGCTTAAAGTTGTATGTTTTACACTCCATAAGAATTTGACAATTGGACATTATTTATTATATTGAAGTGAAAATTGTATCTTACAAATACAGCAATGGCACAATGACATGTGAGTTAAAATAAGTACATTGACCCTTCATTGAAATATTTACTAACTTATAGACTTCCATATTACTCATAAATACAGAATATTGTTATATTTGATTTTCTCTACTGCAAAAGGAAAGTGGTCTTGAGTGTATACTATATAGAACACCCTTAACACTTCTATGTGAATTCACTTTTGGAGCTTGATCATAAATAATTGCTTATTCCCAGATGCACCATACATAGATAGGGTGTGACTGGAATAGTTTCTGAATAGACATAACAGTTATATGAAGGAGAAAATCTTCCAGATCCATAGTAAAATTTTGTCTCATCAGTTTTTTTTTTTTGGGCTAGACAATGGGGTTAAGTGACTTTCCCAGGGTCACACAGCTAGTAAGTGTTATGGGTCTGAGGCCGGATTTGAACTCAGGCCCTCCTGACTTCAGGGATGGTGCTCTATCCACTGCACCACCTAGCTGCCCCTTGTCTCATCAGTTTTGAAAAAGAATAACCACACACTTGACTTATCCCAACTGTAGCATCTATTGAATATGTATTTAAATGACAGGTGAAAAAGGTGGGAGTATGATGGAAGGAGAATCTTCTCTGCTTAGCACTTGGAAATACACATATCATGAGTCATGCCAGCAACGGAAGGAACTATTGTGCCTCTTAGAGTATTTTCTATATACATCTTTCTGATTATAGCCATCTAATATTTATATTCTGTGAATTAATTCTACTATAACCATTGATAACTTTTAGAATGAAGAAGTAAAACAAATGATTTACTTGTGAACATATATTGAAATTTACATTGAAATATCCATATGCATCAAAGTATAGACTGCGTTTTCTTAGTTAGGTTTATCTCCATGGAAATCTGCCTTTTTGGCAATTATTTTAGCATATAACTATATTATTTTTTATGTAGATCTTATGTCCCATTAAGACCCAATATGGTAAAAAAAAAAAAAGAGCACAGGGAGGTAAACTGGTGTAGACAATAGATAACTGCTTAGATAATTGTCACAAGAAGTCAGACTTTAAAAAAAATGTTATTTTCTAGTTACATAGTTGCATGAGGGAAATAAATATGAGGATAATGGTTAATTTAATATGTATAAAGTTATTGACATATTATGTCCCTTT